TTCAATGTCTATCAAAGCAAAGATAGACAGCTTTTGGGTTTGGTTTCTTCATAAAGGTATATATTGTGTGCCTATAAAAAAGGCAAGTGTACAATAAGCTAAAGCTTACCTTAACCCAAGAGAGACCATTGGTTAAAGTAGAATCAATGATGTTGCTATTTGGACGGACTAGGTAATGGTGAGTTCTCTGGCTTGACTTCGTTCATTGAGCTCAGCTTTTAAAAGTTCTTGGTTTGCGCTTTGTTATGTGTCGACAAGTCTTCTTGTTAATAGCTAGCTATTATTTGATAGTATATGAATAGAATTGAAATTTTAAGCGTTTTTAGTTTAGAAACCATATAAAGATATACATGAAGGAGTTGTTCAGCTCATAAATAATAAACTAACTAAAGAAATCACATGGGGATATAAAAAGTGTCTAATTCTCATTAAAGGGAAGTAATGGAATATTTCTTCTGTCTCCTGTTTAATAGAGTTAACACATGGTGACACCTAATTGGCTACAAACCTATAGTTGTGAAATTAATATAAAGAGAATAAGCATGTGGAAAAAGCAAGCGTCTAGTTAGATCAATCAAGAGATAGGGGTTCAGCAAAAAATCTTTTTTATTTTTTATGCTAGGAGGGTTGGCGAGTGATGATTGGTTGAAGGGAAACAAGTAGAAGCCAATTAAAGAGTAGGTACGGTCCAACGAAACATGCGGGGTGACACATGATTCTATTGATTAGCTTTGGATTGGAGATTGATGATTGACTTTTTACTTGTGCGCTTTGTTATTAACTCTTATTCTAGATCGTGATTAAGTCGCAAGGCAAAATAACAAAAAACAAAAGACTATTATTCACTTCTGCAGTGAAACTTTTGCACTCAAATCCATATGACGAAAAGACAATTATTTAGTGCACTAATAAATCTAGTGGATGAGCTTCAATATTCATGAAAAGTTAGGTTTGAAATGATCCAATCTATGTTTTGGAATCAAGACAACTTATCCTACTAATAATAAGAAAGTTTTAAAGGCCTTCAACATTTATAAGTAGAAGCTTCTTTAAGTCTCTATTTTGCAAAGGAGGATAGGAACTTAGAAGTCAGCTAAAAATGATTCAAGTGTAGCAATAGATCTTTTTACAAATCTTGAAAGAATTTCGCAAGAAATCTCTCAAGTGGAAGAGGAGAAGCTCGAGTGTGGACAAAGGTTGAGTTTGTTTTGGTTGTATTAGTCTTTTCTCGAGCTAGAGGTCGTAAGAAGAGTAATGCAATTGATTTGAGACCGCATTCATGGTCTAAATGACAAGAAAAGGTCACTCCTCAATATATAGTAAAAACTCATTGCGTAAGCTGTCACTCTTCGTGATCGGAGAGACTAGAAGAGTATGTCGACTTTTTGTAGAAGATTTAAATAAGTAGTATATCGACACAAAGTAGTGTGTTTTAGTGCATGACTTTTACTGTCTTTGTTGTATTTGCATATATGAGTCAAAACCTAGTTTCAAGATTCTATGTTTATGCTATAATGATAATAATAGAGACTTTTTACGTGAAAATATATTGAAAATTCACGTGAAAGTTGAAATAAGGGGTAAGAATAGTGTATTACTAGAGGTTTGCTTATTAAGATTCCTTCTTCCTTGAGTCTGTGCTATTTCAAATACTAAACCTTATTAAAGAAGAAGCTTTAAGTTGAAAAGAGCCTTGATCACCCGTCAATACGACATACAAGCACAATTACCTTGTAAGTCAATTGTTTGTATGTAACGATAATACATGTTGCTTGATAATAGCTTGCCATGAGAATAGAAAAAAAGTCACTTATATCGTTGTGTTTCATCGAATGGTTTTCGAGGTCCAATTCATCCATGACCAAAGTGGCTTCCACAAGTCGTTGAATCATTATTTGTGAGCTCAAAATCTTCACTTGTCGCTCCAAGTTAAAATCCCTGTGAATAAATTGCAGACATAATCTATTTTGCAATTCATTGTACCTAACAACATTTGATATTAAGGGATTTGGTACTTCTGTAATGCCTGGTGAGGGGAGCCTAGGTTTCGGGGGTGCCTGGGGCAATCAGCTGCATCGTCACAACATGATTGATTTCCCCCTTGAAAAGAAAGTTGGCCAAAAAGCATAAAAAGGCATTCTTTTAAAATTTCTTAAACCAAACTGATACTCTTTCTATGTTCGTAACAGAGGGGAAAACTCATTCATGATGAAAATAAAGGTAAAATAAAAATTTTGAGTCTATTCCAGATTGGAATATGGGTAGGATGGCAGACTCAAGGCTCATACATACCAGAAACCACATGCGGAAAGGCACTTTTTACCTTACCCACCCTACACAATATAAAAGCAATATTTTTTCTATAAAAGAGGGGGCTTCCATTCCGAACTCCATAGGCCTAGGGCTTTAGAATGCCCATTTTTCTTACTTGAAGTGAAAAGGGGATATTTGCATTCAGGTTAAACGTGTATGTAGAGCTTTTAGGAAGGAAGTCGGGATTCAAGCGAGAATCCATGTTTTATTAATATATATAGTAATTGGTTAGCTGATGTTTGGGAAAGAAAGGATTAAGGTAGGAAAGATGCCAATTCCTCTAAAAATGCATATTAGCTGATTGAGTCAGAAAGCTAGCTTAGGCACCGTGGGGTAAGACTTTCTTCTTGCTCCAATCAGTCCACAATTCTTGGTGGAAAGAAAGATTGAAAGTATAGAGCAAAAGCTTGCTTTTACATGATTCTTCTTTCCCTAGATTTTGTCAATTTCTTCTTTCTGAAAGAAATCTCTATAGAAGGAATCAAAGGGAAGTACGGTTTCAATAGGGGTCATTTAAAGGAGTTGATGATTGATTGTGCATCCAAGACCTTTATACCTTTAGTTGCCACATGGTTCGAGGGTGATTAGACGCTAGTACCCATTGGTAAGGCAGAATCACTTATTTTTTAAGAGCGAAGTCAGAAGGTAAGAAGCAAGCCTTAATGAATAACTAAACGCTTGATAGGGTCACTTCTTAGCGAAGGATTCCTTCAAATAGCTCATCAGTAGAAGTAGTCCCTTGGTTAAAGATTCTTTGGCCTTCCTTCTCCCGAAACCACTTCTAATAACAAATCTGGATCTAGGTCTCAAACTCAAATGCTAAAAATAGCTTAAGCTAGAAAAAGTATTAGTTGAACAACTTTAATGGAAGGTCCAAAAACTTCAAGCACAACTGAGGCATTTCTTGTTTAGAAATAGGTCAACTCCAATACGAAAGGAAAGACGTAACCCCCTAGGATTTAAGTAAGATCTCGACCCTTACTTGTGTAGTTAGTGCAAGAACAAGATTAGCAAACAAATATGCCATTATTCTAGTCTTTATGTGCTGTGCCCCTTGGTGTGCCTCTTCCCTTGCTCTTGGCTCTCGCATTTGCAATAACTACTGATGGGTGAGGCTGCTTTTCGCCAAAGCTGCAGTCATTTCTTGTCTTCCACATGTTCTGGCACTAGTTTGCTAATAAGGAAGCACAATCCTCAGTTCCAACTCCTTTGCTCTTAAGCTGATTGAGCATAGAGCCTAGCCACTGATAAATCTGGTAACCTTGTGGGAGGGTATTGATAGTTGTGAAGGAGACCCAAACACGAATTTCTTCTCCTCTGACACAGCAAGTGTTCTACCGTTTTTTCACCTTTATCATGCAGTGTGCATATAGGACTACTTATCTCCTGACTCTTGAAAAGATTTTCCTTTTTTTGGGATGGCATTTGGCAGGCCTTCCACACCACAGGAAGTGAGACTCTAAAAATGAGTTTGGGGGTGGGGGTGGGTTGGAGTAGGAGCGTTTGCCTTATTTCAGGGCTTTTTTGTTTCCCTTTGTGTGCTGCTTGTATCCATTGACACCGTGTTATTGCCCCATAGTTGCTGCTGGCAAATTAACAGGTCTGGTATATTCATGACTCGGGGGATATGTAAGATGCCCCTATCATTTCTGGATTGAAAATTGGATTGATTACTTCCTCTTTCCATTGGTTACTCTCTGAGTTGATGAGTTCATTCACTTTATGCACTTACGGGTTATCCATTTCCTCCATTTGGCGCCGATTTTTGATCTATCTATCCTTCAAAATTCTCTGTCCTTCCCTAACCTTCCGTTATATTTCTTGTTTTAGTTGCTTCCTTCCTGTTAGCAAACTCTTCCAAGACATGAGGGTCGCCATCCTCCTTTGGCTTCGCCAGTCATAAATCAAGTGAGGTGGCTTATAGTCTTTCTTGTGATTGGGTGACCTGAGCTCTTTACTATGATCAAGCTTTGGCTGTCTCGATGGACTGGCTTGCCTTGTGCTCTGGCCCTATTCAAGTAAGCTATAATCCAAGAGGTGGAGGGGCATAAGCACCCTATTAAGTTTTGATTCTTCTCTGGGTTAATCCGATTGGTTGAGGTCAAAGAAGTCCTATAAATACCTGTCACTGAACATAAAAAGATTGATCAGTTGGGATTGGTCCCCCCATCAGCACAAGTCTGAATCTCTCCCTGGTAAATCTTAGTCAATGAAGACATTAAGTGAGCTCTTTAGTCGACACCTTTGTTCCCATCTAGTCGAATACTGGCCCTCCTGCCATGAACTTATGAAGGAGGGGTAGGTGGATATTACCTTCTTTGATCAGCACCCACCTCTAGAAAAATGGATCCCTTTTGATGCCTGCCCATTGGAGATCCAAAGAAACTCATGATGTACAGGTCTATAGTTTGTCTCAACTGAGCCCTTAATCGTCTTGCTACGTTTCTGGTGAAGTTGTCATATTCTTTGGTTTTGGCACTCTAGCTGTTACTTGACCACCAACCACATTACGACCTGAACAAAAGCTACATGGATGAGATGGTGACATTGGAATTTATGTGATGGGTGACTTTTGTTTTAGATCACTACGCATTGACAATCTCTTTGAAAATGACCTTACTGTGGTTTCCCATTCGTTCAATGGTGTGAGGCTTATCAGTTGTAGCTAACTAGTCTTAATTTTTCAGGTCAGACATGGTCCTGGCTTTTATAACTGCAGTTTTGAATTGGTGTCTGGTGAATACAGCAGTGAAGATGTTGCAGTTGTCCACTTACCTGAAGATGATCAAGGCCTGGCAGCTGGGCAGTTTGCAGCCTTCTATGAGGGACAAACCTGCATAGGTTCTGGTGTTATTTTGGAGTCCTGGGATGATCAAGGGTTTCCTGTTTGTGCAAAGGCTCTTGAGATTGCAAGAATGGAAGATAAATCAAAGCTTGGGAAACCAGTTAAGATCAAGGCAAAAGCAGAAGTTCCTCCAGAAATATCTGTTCACAATGACAGCATTGAACTTAACAGAAGCTTAATCAGTTTTTAAATTCCTGTCTCGGATTAAAGAGAACATGCATCTGAAGAGGAAGCAACGACCACAGTTTCAGTTAATCGGCTGCAAAAGCTCAGAGAGATTGGTTACATATACTTTAAAGTTAATTTTTGACAGTTGGAACTAGCCATTGGATCTTCCTAGTGACCCATTGCAATGGAATTTAAGGGGAGAAATTCGTTGGCTGTTGTAAGAGTTGTAAGAGTGTTCAGCCATGGCAGCCTCTTTTGTCTCGGAGCATTCACACGTTAGAAAGTTTGTCCATATTTTCTTCAGGGGCTGCCCTTTTTACTGATTAGCTCCTTGATTACGATGTGTTTCTCCCATGTTATTGTATATCGTTGCGATCAATTTATACTGTTCTTCAGGAGTATGGCTTTTCCCATAATTGAACATGAAGCATGGACAATTTTAAGCAGTTAAGTGCCTTGTACTTTCCATGGCCTAGAGAAATGGAGTTTTCATGGGACATGTTTCTTGCGCACATAATTTGCCCAATGAAAAGAGTCGTACTACGAAGCCATTTTGCTGTCTATTCTCTATTATATCGGTGATAATTTTTGTATATTGTAAATTGATCAGCCCATCATGAATTGTGAACAATTTTGAATATGAAAATCATAACTTTTTACTCTCAGCTTTTCCAACGTCAGTAAATGTTATCACATGGGAAAATGGTGCCTTGAGATTTTTTTTTAATTTATAATATATGAAAAATGAAAGGAAATGAAGCAGAAATTGCTTGCAAGAAGCTTTAGTCAAGTATAGAAAAAAAATACCTAATAATAAAAGAAAAAAAAATAATTAAAATGCTTGGATCAAATATGAAAAAAAAATGGACCAACTTTTTTTTGGAAAAGGTATAATATCATAAAAACTGCAGTATACTTTACCAGCCCATTTGTCTTAAGATTTCTTTGCCAAATGTGGTGTTTTTAATTCTTTCCATTTCTAACTCTTCCCTCTGTTTTTAATACTATTTGATTTTAATTTCCCATGTTGTTAGGGTTTCACTTTCTTTTCACAGGTTTAATTAATTTGGTTTTTTTTTTCTTTTGCGAATTTGTTTGTTTTGAATTCCCTCAATTACTGTTGATGAAAATTTTGCTAGAGATGCTTTTTATTAAAATATGTTAGATTAATGGAACATTGCAATTTTTTTTATGATATCTTTAAAACAATTATAACAATTTATGCTCGGATAAATTAGTTAATGAAGTTCTTTAGTAAGTTTTACACTATGTTGATTGCTTTTTATTATTTTATCTGAAAATATTTGGTAGAAAAAGTTTGGTTTAAGGAAAATGTTTTTTTTTTTACTTTTTCTCATGAATGTTTAATAGAATTTTAATTCTGCAATTAATTAAAAAAATTCAATCAATTTTCGATGAAGTGACCTAAATCTAAAGCATGGGGCACCTATGGGCTATGGAGGCACAAAGATGGAGAAAGAGATTTTTATTTTTATTTTTCTTGCAAAGGGTTTAAATGTTATTAGTATATAGCAATAAAAATCGGATTGAATAATGATTCATTCAAAGTGGTAAATTCTATAATAAAGTCATTACTTTTTAACTTATTGTAAAGTTAATTAATAAAAATTATTCGATATATGAAATTAAATTACAATTATTAATTTAAAATTCATATAAAATTGATAAATAAATTCAACTGGTAAAAAAAAAATCTTTCTTTGGATGGAATCTCTTGTTATACCTTATTAATAGAAGTAGTTTATTTGCATTGCTTTTATTTAATGGTTGAAATTTATATTATAAATAAGATTGTCACTATAATAAATTAAAAAGTCAAAATTAAAAATGTATAACAACAAAAATAAAAACACAGGTAATTTAAAGTTATTGTTGAAAAGCCTAAATGTAAAGTTTTTAAAAGTTATGATAAAATTTTTTTAATGTAAATCAATAAGAATTGATATAAAAACTTATAAAAGTAAAATAATTAAATTTAAAATTTTAACGTAAATGTATAAAAATTAACATAATAAATCAATTAAAAAAATTTTAATTTTAATAAAAAATAAATATTTAAATTATATTCTTAGACTAAAAATATTTATAGTTAAATATTTTTAGTCTAAGAATATAATCTAAATAGTTAACTATATAAAAATTTTAATTTTTAAATAAAAAATAATAAAAATAAAAATAATTTTAATTTAAAATTAATATAAAAAAAATTTTGACGTAAAAATGATGAAAATTATTTTAAAAACTTATAAAAGTGAAATAATTAAATTTTTATATTTAATATAAATATATGAGAGTTGATAAAAATATTTTAGATAAATTAATAAATTATGTAAAAAATAATAAAATATTCTATATGATTTCAGTATGAAAAAGTTACAATTTTTGAGAATTATTATAATTGAAAAAAAAAAGAAAAAAAAAGGCTAAAACCTCCCAACGGAGAAGAGGATAAACCTCTCTCAGTCAGTGAGTCCCTCTTCCTTTAACCGCCAAACCTTCCCATTTCCAATTCTTTTTCCAAGCTCAATACTCAACAGCTTGAAAGAAGCTGAAAATGTCGTGCTTTCCTGTTGGCCAACTCTCCTCTAAATCCCTTCCTCTTCTTTCGCCCGCTCCCAGACTCTCCGCTTTTCCTCTTCAGCCAATTCGCTCTGCTTTTTCTCCTCCATTGCTTCTCTCCTTTTCCACCCTTCCTTCTCTCCTTCGCTGCCGCTGCTCCTCTGCCCCTTCTCCCTCTCCTCACGAAGAGGAATTCCAAGATTTACTTGAGGTAGAAGATGAGGAAGAAGAAGAAGAAGAAGAAGAAGAAGAAGAATCTGATGACGACTATGCCTTGGACGTGGACGCCCTAGAATCCGAAGCCAAGGACGCCTTTCGCCGCTATGCCTCTTCCTTGTCTCGCCAACTAACCATCGGTAATTCCCTCCCATTACGCCTCGTCTCTTCATATTTAAAATGAATTAGTTTGTACTGCTTTTGTTCTTCAAATTTTAAAAGTCAAGCTATAACTGGTTAGAAATGAATGACTAACTAACGTGGGTGGAACACTAATTAAATGAAAGATGTTCCAAGTAAAAGTAGAATCAAGCATTTTGTTCTCCAAAAAATATTTACATTTTTAATATCTTCAAAAGTAACCTTTGCTTTTTGCATATAATTCGCTATAGGCTTTTTGACATACTAAAATCGCTTCTAAGTTGTTTCCTCTGATTTTTTTTGTATTGTTTGTGCTTAAGAAAGACATTATGACATTATTTTCTGAGACCTCATAAGTCGTTATGCTCTAATCTCAGAGGATGAGGCAGATGATTCCAAGGAGTTGAGTGGAAAGCTGAAGAGACGTAAAAGTGCAAGTAAAAGTGTAAGTAAAGCTTATTTTGTCGAGTTATTATTCTCTCTACTTATGTTATTGCCATACTAAGTAGCTTCCTTGTTTCTTATACGGGTGACTTGGAAACCTATTGCAGCAGCTGACTATAAACCATATATATAGCTGCAACTTGCAAGGGAGATTTAATTATCTTCTTCATTTTCTCTTTCTTTCTATTTTGTTGCTGCAGATTTCTTCTTCCTTTCTAATCGGTCGATTGTTTTAAAACCTTTTGGAAATTTTAGTGCTTAATAGAAAAAACATTTGCAGCCTGGAAAAAGTTTATGTTCTTGGTCGGAATTCCCTCTGATGATGCTGTATATGCATTGTCAAGGCCTTAATACTGTGCAAGAGTTCTATTGATTCATTCCATGTTTAACATGTGCACTAGCAAGCAGAATGTTATCAGTAGATCGTTTTAAGGTTTTTGGTATAGACAAGTTAATTCATGGGTGTTTGTAGCTGCTTCATATCTTGTAATTGCCTTAATTTGGTTTCACATTCATTAGAATCATATGATGCTTCAGCTTTAAAATTTGAAAATTTGGAACAATCTATGATAGAAACATATTGAAAGTTGAGAGTGTAGGCATATAAACTTTTGTTTCATTTCTGAAGTGTCTGCTTAGTTTACGGATATAGTTTGAACCAATGATTACTGTGATTAAGTGCAATTAAATCTTTTATGATGTAGACTAGGGACTCTATCTTATAAAGAGTTTAAAATATTGTTGCTACTTAGTGACAATTTTAAAATCCTTTGGCAGATCCCTGACCATCTTCTTCCAAGGGTTGCAATAGTTGGAAGGCCAAATGTTGGTAAATCAGCATTGTTTAATCGCCTTGTTGGGGTATTTAATCACTAATTTTGTCTATTATTCTCTTTTATAATTCCCAATTCATTTTGAACATCTACTAAACCAAATTGGTTGCATATATGCACCTAGGTGTGTGTTTTTAGATTGTCCATGTCAAACTCTTTCATGGATTTTATCACAGGGCAACAGGGCCATTGTGGTGGATGAACCTGGGGTTACCCGGGATCGTTTGTATGGTAGATCCTTCTGGGGAGATCATGAATTTGTGGTGGTTGATACTGGAGGGGTCCTAAATGTGTCAAAGTCACAAGCTAATGTTATGGAAGACTTGGCAATTACAACGACCATTGGTATGGATGGCATTCCGTTATTCTCCAGGGAGGCAGCTGTTGCAAGGATGCCTTCTATGATTGAACGGCAAGCTACTGCAGCTGTTGAAGAAGCATCTGTCATTATATTCCTTGTGGATGGGCAGGTCTACATCCTTCTTCTCGCATAGATTGTTTATTTTTCCTTTTGAAGCTTTGAAACAAATTAATAAAAAAGTCAAGAAAAATTATCTCGAACATTTGAAATCATGTCTATCATCTGCTGTTTGATTGAGTTAGTATTTATCAAAAAAAAATTTAGGATCTTTTATTATCTGGAATAGAAAAAGAAATGATCATTGTTTTTAACTTTGTTTAAAATGCAAAGTAATAAACAAATAAATGCAATCATTCTTGAAGGCTGAAAACTTCTCAAATTCTAGGTTGTCATTGTAGTAATGGAGCCACGATAAGTTAATAATTTGCATTTTGCAGGAAAGAAAAAGGACATGAAACAATTAAGTTGCATCAAGTGGTTGCCTTGAGTGCCTCTTTGCACAAGGTACTTGACTAGACACAAAAGGCAAATCACTCCTCCTTGTAGGTATGGAATATGTTAAGTAGTGTTATTCCACATCAGTGAAGTTCAAGGTTTTTCCTAGCCTAATGTTTAACTAGGGCTTTCCACATATTTGCAATTGGTTAGGTTGGATTCTTAATGGAGGCATCATTACTTCATCTTGCCTTGCTAAAGTGTTGTAAACTTTTATATTTTTACTCCATCTCTTCTGACTTAGGCAAGCAAGGTGCTAAGCACTGATGTGAGTGCCCCTGGCTGCACTTTTTTAGTTGTTGCAAGAGCATTAGGAAAATTTTAAACGAAGATATGAAGAAGCTAAATGTCAGTCTTAGGATTACATGCTCTCGGTAGGGAAAAAAACTCTGGGAATTAAAATCTAGGAAAACTTATGCATCAACAAGGTGAGTAACATTAAAGTGAAAGGAAGGTTTGCTCATAACTAGTAGACATTTAAAAATTCCTATTGTCTCTCAGCCAGTCCTTGGTGCTTAAAGAATTTGGCTTGAAGTTGTGAAGGTTGAGATTTTTGTTGACTGGATAAGATGAGAGTTGTCTATGGGATTCTTTAAGGGTCTGATTATCTACTTTTATGGTTCTTTATCTTGGTGGCAATCTGACTTGTATATGAAAGCCAACAAATATATTCTTCTTTTTCTTTTAAAAAACTATTAACCTGCCAAGTGGTTGTTTGTATGATACTGAACAGGCTGGTCTAACGGCAGCTGATGCGGAGATTGCAGACTGGCTTCGAAAAAGCTACTCAAGTAAATATATTGTCCTTGCAGTTAACAAGTGTGAATCACCCCGAAAGGGAATCATGCAAGCAGCGGAGTTTTGGTCATTGGGGTAATTCTTAATTTCTGTTTCTCTGAAAAATTTGGTGTTCAGTTATGTGCTGAATGCCTATTGGCTATGCCTTGAGTAATCGACAATGTAGTTTATGGTTTGGAAAGGCATTAAAACTTGTTCCAAAGAACTGACTTATTGGAGTAGCTTTCTCTCTCCCCTCTCTCTCACCTCTTTCCGGTTTTCCTTTTTCTATTCTTCTTCTGTAACTGACTTTCAGGAAAAGAACTCTGCTGGTGACCTGTGCCTTTTTTTCCTTTGTTAGACTTGCTTGTTATGTCAAGTTATCTCTTACTTTGGACCTAGGAAATCTGTTCTTTTCTTCCCCTTCGAATTAATATTGCATTAACTCTTTCAACTGCACAACCAGGTTCTCACCAGTTCCTATATCTGCCTTATCTGGGACTGGAACTGGGGAGCTTCTTGATCTTGTTTATTCAGGGTTGAAAAAGATTGAGGTAATCTGGCTTTATAATTTGTCTTTGTTAATGATTTCATTTCATTTCTTGCCCATAACTTTCCATTCCCCTTTTCACTGTGAAACTGTTCTTATTCATGCTTTGCAGTTACTGGCATTTGTCCTTCAAAGATCAATTATATGTTTATATCTATCTTGATTATGCATGTCAACCAATCCATATTTAATTCTGCTTCATCCATTAATTAATTGAATGACGAACTGACCTTTCTTGGAATTACTATGATTCCAACTTTAGTTGGGAGATTTGTCATACATACTGCTTATGTTTATATATCACGCTGTGTATGGATGGAGTTGCTAGCATGTTCCGTATCTTTTGATAACTTTCATCTTAAAATTTTTGCTTAATAATGAACTTATTTCTTTCCCTGCTAAGTACATGGCTTCTTGATTACTTTGCAGAATCCAGAATATAAGGATGAGGAAGAAAATTATGTTCCTGCAATTGCAATTGTTGGTCGACCGAACGTTGGTAAAAGTAGCATTTTAAATGCTTTGGTTGGGGAGGATAGAACAATTGTGAGCCCAATCAGTGGTACCACTCGTGATGCAATTGATACAGAATTTATTGGACCTGATGGCCAGGTTTCTCTATTTCTGGAAAAACCAGTATTGTTTTTCCTATAGTGAAAAAAAGAAAGAGAAACCTGTATTATAGCTGATATTCTATTCATCTAGGTTTTGCTTGAGTAGGAGATTAGACTTTTTATGCATTAAAGGATCAATGATAAAGAATGAGTAGTAAAGAGAATATAATATTACCCTGAGTTCTGTTTGTTTTTGTATTCCAACTGCTGTTAGAGGCTTAATACAGAGGTCACTCATTTTGCAGAAGTTCCAGCTTATTGATACTGCTGGGATCAGAAGAAGGGCATCCATAGCGTCATCAGGTAGTACCACTGAGGCTTTATCAGTGAACAGAGCATTTCGTGCCATCTGCCGTTCTGATATTGTTGCTCTGGTCATTGAGGCCATGGCTTGTATAACTGAACAGGTACCTCGTCCTTGATTTTCTGACAAGCCGTGTTATTAATATTATTGTTTTAACATGCTTGGACATTCTCCCTTATTGGAGTATAGTGATAGCCATATTGCACTGTAAGTAGCTCCTGAACACACAGAACAGAATTATGTTAAGAGAGAATATTTTATTGTGTTAACTAAATCAAGTTATAACAAGTCGCTTTATATAACAGTTTGATAACTCGGGCCAAATCAGTATTGCAGTAAATCTTATCAAATTGTTGGAAATATCTGTATCTATCTATTTAATGATAATGATTGCCAAATCAGAGCAACAATAGAATGCACAAGCTTTTGATTTAATCAGTAAATGATTCATGTATAAGCAAGGTAAAATTACCCCTTAATCAGCAACTTCTACTTACAGGAAAGTGGAAATAACAAGTCAGTGATACATGTGCCAAAAAAGAATATTCTTATTGCAGCTGTTGCTACCATTACTTTGATTCTTGAAATTGAAGAGTGCTTGTTACAAAAATGTAGTGATTTTGACTCCCGTGAAACCTTGGTGCCAATCGGATCTTGCCACTAGTTACTATTGCAGGTTCTTAATTTTCAGCATTAGATATGATTCAGGATACTTGCTCTTTTATTTTGTTGATGGAATCTCCTAGTAAAGTGATGGATAATACTAGGGTTGTAATTTTGTTGAGTTAAGTCAATATAATGAGATACTCAAGCTCAACGCAGTTTAAAATTTGATGCTCAAAACTTGATTTGAGTCCAAGCATGCTTCATTTCAATCAAGAATTGGCTTGAGGAAAATTATTAGAGCTTATTTCAACTATAATAATTTGAAGCACATGCTCAAGTTCAACTTTGATCGCATGCTTTTTTCGAATAAACTATTTATGATATGATTTACATATGTATATTGTACACAGAATATGTTATAAGTATATTTAAAATTAAATATATGCTTACGCTTGTGAGCATCTTGTGTCAAGTTTCAGTATACTTGATCTTTGCTTGAGTTGCTACTTGATCTTGATTTGTTTATAATAAACAAATTGAATCCTAGTAATTAGCAAGTAAGTCTGAGTGGCTTTTAAACTGTACCAGCTCGACTATACACCTTTGTTTCATGTTCAAAGCCCCTCCTTTAGTTTTTGTTTTGATTGAAATTATTACCCTTGAAATGTGGCTCCAGCAAAAGCTATTTATGAGATAATTTGGCATAAAAGAACGACTCATCACTATCTGCAGATTGGATATACACTGTTTTTCTATGAGAGTGTGTATATGGGTGTCAATCTGCATGTCTGCTTTCTTTTTGGTACAACCAGTACAAGATCCCTGGTAACTTCCACGGCATCTGGAATATAATCATAGCTAGCCTTCCCTAATTCAAAGATTAATATTTGCTTTTGATCTCTGCAACATTCAAGGTTGAGGGATTGTTGAGATGGTTTACATGAGACAAAAATGAAAAATACAGCGCATTCAAATTCTTGCCCCCTTTTTGGATGCTTTTTCCATTGTCTTTTTAAAACCTTTGTGTAATAACTGAAGTGCTCACCTTTTAGTTGATTGAAGATAATTTACAACTTAGGATGTTCAGTAACTAATTGAGGGTAAATTTACTGATAACCAAACTTGAGAAAATCCTTTTTAGAAATTATCTTACTGATATCTTTGGGATATAACAATGGCCGTGTCTTCGCCTGTTAATCTGATGAGTTGCTGGTCCTTATGTTTCATTTTGATTATTTTGTTAACTGTTAGGTCTTGTTTTATCTCGATGTCCTAGGATACTAGAATTGCTGAGAGGATAGAGAAAGAAGGAAAGGGTTGTCTGATTGTTGTAAACAAATGGGATACTATACCAAACAAAAACCAGCAAACTGCAACATACTACGAGCAAGATGTTAGGGAGAAAATGCGCATTCTTGATTGGGCCCCAATTGTTTATTCAACTGCAATAGCTGGTCAGAGTGTTGAAAAGTACGTTTTTAACCTGCCATATGTTGTCAGTTTTTTGTTACAACTGAATTTATGATCATCATGATCCGTATCCATTTAAGATATTCAAGATTATACTAATAACCAATGGTTGTATTGTCCTATAATATACAATGATAGACAGGATGGTTTACTTTTTCCTACTTTCGTTTTGTCTCCTTGTTCTTTCTATGCTATATTTTCTGTTGTGGTATACCATACATAAGTATCACTGGTATATTTGCAATGTGGTCTACAACTTGTCTTAGCTATTTTTGTATTCGATGTTGTTTTGGGTTCAGGATAATTGTTGCAGCTATTACAGTTGAAAAGGAACGGTCAAGAAGACTTAGTACTGCAATATTGAATCAAGTTATACAGGAAGCAATAGCTTTTAAACCGCCTCCTAGGACACGAGGTGGCAGGAGAGGACGTGTTTATTATTGTACTCAGGTATATTTGTTACATGTCAAAAATAATAATTATGTCAGGTTGGTATCTTTGGGATTGCTTTATTATCTATATATGTCCATAAAACAGATTCACCTTCCTCACAAAGTTTAAGATGTTTTGCAGTTTATCTTTTCTTGTTCTTCATCTTTTTCCTCCATAGTTTTTAATTATTTCTTCAGCTAGCTGCTTCATCTATAAACCAATTCCTTTTCTTGAATCATCTCTATGGCTGCCACCGTACAGAAGCTTTCACATTGCAAGCCATTCTTCTCGATGCCAACAATTGGAAGTACTTTTTGCAGTCTGCATCACACTGAATTATCCATTTAACCGTAATGCCATGAGATTTATCTGTTATTTGTCACGTTGTTTGAAATTGACTTCTTGCAGCAGTAGACATGAATCGTTAGCTCATTTCTAAGCTAGGGAGCAGCCAGCATAGAGAGAAATTGTAATGTGTTTGTGCAAATGGACCTAGTTAAAGGCAGCAATCTTCACATTTGAATAGGAGCTTAGTGTGTGTAACTTGTATGTGTGCTTTGGCTAATATTAGTGGTTTGCAAGTACTACACCTCTTTGTGCATCATCGTAAGCAGCTTAGTGTATGAGTACTATTACCATTTGTACACAACTATTGTCGAAGTGGTCTTTTTAAAAATGTGCCTCGCTGCCACATTATAGTTCTTATACTTTTCAAAAAAAATAAATATAGTACAGATTAGAGGCCACTTTTAGTATCTCTAATTAGATAGGGGAATGGTACATAGATGGAGATGCACTTGACGAAGCCCTCTTTTTGTTTGATACATAACAAGTAATCACCCAAAGCACATCCTAGGGACACTTTTTGAGCCCTTGACTTCAGTTCTGTGTACTTGTGTTTCTTGGAGGAGCATGTTCTTTTGCAGTTGTTAATCTTTCACTTGTCCAATGTGGTTTCTGATGGTTCTTTGTATCCAATCCTATCTCCTTTTGCAGGCTGCTATTAGGCCTCCTACATTTGTTTTCTTTGTTAATGATGCAAAACTATTCCCGGAGACTTACAGGCGTTATATGGAGAAGCAACTTCGTACAGATGCTGGGTTTGCTGGTACTCCTATTCGACTTCTTTGGCGAAGCAGAAGAAAAGTGGAAAAGGGTGAAGGTCAGTGCAATTTCTCATACCATTCCAGAGAGTGATGATTTGCAATATTATGCTCAATTGAAAGAGTTATCAACATGGGTTGCTAACTCACCGTCTTGCACAACCAATCACTGTTTTCATGTTGTCACAAAATGGTGCAATTCCAATGTGGCGTTGCCATGCAGTTGTTTGACCATGGCCCCACTGCCACCATGGGCAGAGTGGTAACCACCAGTATATTGTGTGATGCATTAGCTCGTATCCTTGCACTATTCTTAATGCCTCTGAATTTATGTAGCATGTCATTGTGAACCTTGATTGCTGTGATTATGGATCTTATATTTGGCTAATGTGTAGCATTAACTATGAGATATCTTTTACAAAGTACACTTATGGTAAGTGCAGCACTTATCAAAATACTCTTTTGCTATTTTGATTCAAGTTTGTTACGACCAAAAACATTGATCTATAATTTATTTGGAAATTATTAAGAAATGAAAGGTAAGCAGATGCCTAACATACAAAGACATCCAAAAATAAATGTCACCTAAAGTTTACTGGTTTTCTGTCGAGACTAAATTTATAGACTTGTTCTCTTATAATTGCATTAGCCCATATTGTCAAATCTTCATTATATTTGAGCCAGTGTTATAATATTTTTATAAGCATAATTGTTTTATATTTGTGATAAATAATGCTGTTTGTGTGAAGTTTCATCATCTCTTTAGATCATATGTTTTTGATGTTTGAAAGTGCAACTGTCGTACATTTGAGAGTAGTAATGAACTTAATTTTTTGGTAATGCTAACATGTTAAAAAATTTTCAAGGCTAAATTTCCTCAATATCTGGTGTCAATGAGACGACTTCTGTTTCTGAATAAAATAATCAGCTAATCCTGCTTTTAATATATAGCCGAGTGGAATCTTATATCCAAATCATGTAATCTTCAAACTAACAGATTCAACTTTCCTTGAATGGTTTTCAGGCAGGGCCGCAACAAGAACAAGATCAAATCTTGCACCACTTGATGGAAAAGTGGCATTAACTACATAAAGAGATATTAATCTTCCTCTCAGGCAGAGATGGGAGTTTCTTTGTTCTACTCTAGGGCTTTGTTTGAAGAAGTTTCAGGAGGATGTCTTATCTTTCTACCTCCATAAAGGCTGGGTAGTTTGTATGCAGCAATCTTAGAAACCCCAGGCTCCAGAAGGTGCATGTGTCTGAATTCAATGTTGAATACATACGGATACCACATCCAGATATTGTTGTAAATGCTATATAAACAATTATTTTAAAAGCAGTTCTTCGTAAGCACTCATCTTGGGAAAGGCACTATGAAAGAGTAAAGAAGAGATTGACAGTTCACATATGCATAGTTTAACTGTGATGATGATGTATGTGGTGGTGGATACTGTAATTTAGGAGAGTGAGCTTTGTTGCTATAGTTGTACACCATTTCTGATATGTTTATTTAAGAAAGAATAAGATGGCTTGTAGTAGTATGATACACTTAAATTCTTAGCTTTTCAAGTTACAGGAGATGTCTGCTTCTTTGTCTTTCAAAATGTGTCAATTTTGATTAGGTTGGGCTTGCCACTTTGGTAATTATTCCTAAACTGAAGTTTCAAATAGTGAAATTGTTCAGCAGGTTTTGTCAGATTACTTTGGACCTCGATCTTGAGTTATACGCAGGCAGTGGACAAACATCTTGTTTATCAGCTATTTGGTATCCTAGATTCTTGGAAATGCCGTGTGAGCTGCCTGCAACAATTGAGGGCTGGATCGTCGTTGCTGTGCTAGGTATGAACACTGAAAACTCCTTTCTGCATTTTCTTGAACATGCATATTAACCACGGATTTATTAAGGCCTTCTGAAGGGATTAAGTGAATTTAATATGAAAGACAGAGTATCATATAAAAGCAAAAAGATTACTGGGTGTTGAGTTAGTAGTCACACCTCCAGCTTTAAGATGGAGATTCCAAGTTACAATTCCCTTCCCCTGTCAAAAGCTTTAAAAATTAGACAGGGTAGTAGCATCAATAACTTGGTGGTCATGGCATGTCGTGGCCGACAAATTTCATTTAGGCATTCGTGGTTGGTGACAGTGTTTAATGCGTGGGGATCAGTGTCTTTAATGCTTAAGTTTTTGGTGTCAAAATTGAATCACTAAATGTTGCTCGCCATTCCTTTTTTCTTCTCTATAAGGATGATGAGTCCCCTAACATTCGTAAGCAGGGTTCACGGATATTATTAGGCATTTGTGATTGTTGTCATGCTATGCTGCAAGGAATTGATGTCTTATACTGAATTTTGGTGTAAAAGTTGAATCACCAAAATTTCTCACCATTGCCTGTGATGATGCTTTTTTCTTCTTTATACGGATGATGAGTCTCCCAACATTAAAAGGACTTCCTACCAGCTTTATTTTCGATGTTTTATGTGAGCGAATTTCCTTATTGTATATGGCGTATGGTGATTAATTATGAATTAAATATTTTTTTATATTTATTAAAAAAGCTTTTGAATTATTTAGAAAATTTTAAATAAATCATTATTTTTTATTAAGTTAAATCAAGTGTTTATATTTTGATAATATTTAACAAACTTATTTAAAAAAATTTAAAATTTTTTTTATATTTTTATTATGTTTAATCAACTTTTTATATTTTTATTTTGAATTAAATAAGATTTTATATTTTTATTTTAAGTCAAATAAGTTTTTATAATTAATGATTGACTTAGTCGAAATGTCATATATTTTTATGTTGTGTGACGCTGACATAGTATGTTAATATGTCATAATTGATTATAGTATGACATGTTGACATATTATAATTAATTATGATATATTAATGCGACATGATAACATGACAGTATGGCTTTCTTTACTTTTCGTATTAACGTCATGTGGATAAAAAATTACAAATGGTATTTTGATTAATAATAATTAGTCAATTATTAATTATAAGATTTATTTGACTTAAAATAAAAATACGAAAATTTGATTGGATATAATAAAAAATTAAAAATTATTTGAATTTTTTGAATAGTTTAGAGATTTATTTTTAAGTATCATGTCTATTTTTATTTGGTCAAAGTACCTCAAAGGTCACTCAATTATAGAAATTTCATCAATTTAACCTTTTATTCCAAAATTGGTTAATTTAGTCTTGTATTCTAAAATTTTGTGCAAGAGTCTCTCCACTTAACTATCTAAATTAACCATTAGTGGTGCTAAAGTGACATTGATGTTATGTTGACATGTCAGACGATGTTAATGTAATGTTGACATGTCAGACGATGTTAATGTGATATTGACATGTCATAAAATTTATTTAGCTAAAAAATAATTTTATCACATCAATTTTTCTATGTCATGTCATAAGAATTAAATTGAATAAAACAGTACAAGGATTAAATTGAATAAAATATAATAATATAGGAATTTAATGAGTACTTTAATCATTATTTGTTTCGCATTATATGTGGGAATGTTGGCCTTCCTTATAAGTTGAAATAGTGTTTGAAGTGGATAAAAATCTTGAAACATTATAGTTAAATGCAATTTTTGCTTATAATATGAAACATTGTAGTTAAATGCTATTTCTACTTGTAATATGAAATTTTGTTATCTTCTGTTTTATAGAGCTATTTATGCAATTAAAGAAAAAATATATAATAAAATGACATTATTGTATTAACTTTCCATTTGCACTAGGAATGAAAAAAATGTAATAATGCGATTAATTACAAAAATATCAACTTTATTTAAAAACATAAACTTTAGTTACAAAAAGAATTATAATATCCATATAGTTAAAAAATAACTTGTGCAACAATCAAAATAACAAGAACCAATATAAATCAATCAAAAATATCAACCATATAGCACCATTAGACTTTTGGGATGCTTTCTTGAGTTGAAACTGGTGCACTATTGATTTACTTTTTTATTTCTATTGCCACTTGAATGTTTTAATGACAAAAATAAGACAAAAACATTATTAATACAATGTAATTAATTTTCTTCCTACCATTAACTTCCTTGTAGATACGAATAATATACAATTGTAGTTCCCAATTGCAACTGTTAGTTGATTTCCCTTACCAATGCAGGAAGGGAATTAAAATTAATTTCACCAGCATTGATAGGGGAAAGAGCCTAAAACAAGTTACATTATCCTTATAATTGTAGGGAATGATAAAGATAAAGATAATTAGTTGATTTCCCTTACATTATCACGCGCACCTTAAGTAACACCATGCCAAAATCCAATCATACATAAGGTGCCAACCATGCAAGCAAGCCCTCAATCACTCAATATCTAAACCCTAAACCCAATTCCTCTCAAAGGATTATAACGCATACATATCAACCAGTCACACATGCTCTGTCTCCTTTCGA